GAGAAGGAGAGGGTTGACATGTCATGGGGTTGTTAACCAATGTCATAAAATAATATGTGTACTGACTGTTTAATGAGAAAGTATTTGTTCTGTAAACGTTCACCTAAAGTACAATAAAAAAAAGATTACATCCAATTAAAAAAAAAAAAAGTGAGATTGGATAAAGATGGTTACCAACCCCAAACACCAAAGGAAAAAAAAAAGTGAAGAAGCAACAATACCAACAACAACCAAAAAAAAAAAAAAAGTATGTGGTTACATATGTATGTATATATGTGTATAGGTATATAAATGTGTGTGCATATGTATAACATATAGATGTATCTATCTGCATACATATGTCTTAGGCTGGGTTCTCTAGTGAAGCAAAACCAGAGAGAGAGAGGGAGATTTAACTCAAGGAAATGGCTCACACAGTTGTGGAGGCTGGCAAGTCTCAAATCTGTGGGTCAGGCACTAGGCCAGAGGCTTCTCCTGACTCACGTGGTTGCAGGGGCTGCTGACTCACAGGGCTGTGGGATCTGGCGAATCCCAAAATCTGTAGGTCAGGTGGTAGCTGCTGGCTCATGTCCCAAGAACAGAAGGTCAAATGATGGTAAGTCAGATGCAGAATTGAGAGCAAAAGCAAGCAAGCTTTGCCAGAATGTCTGGTCATATTCTGGATGCAGGCCACACCCCTGAGGAAACTTGCCTTACAACCGATTGGCTGATCACATCATGGAAGTGATTATATTACTTACAGAAGAACAATCAGTCCAATGTGTGCCAAACCACTGAGAATCATAACCCAATCAAGTTAACAGATAACATTAACCATCACAATGTATATACAGGTATGTGTATGCACGCATATATATTCATATATATAATAAGCCACATAGAAGGCACAGTTACAGATCCTTTTTAGATATAAACAAACACCTTGTGAGTTTGGTTTTGTGAGTTTGAAGGCATAGGACCCTACTCTCATAGGACAACTCAGTCAACTGGCATAATATATTTCATAAAGTTTATCTTCTACATCCTAGTTTGGTGAGTAGCATCTAGGGTCTTAAAAGCTTGTGGGTGACCATCTAAGATACAACTATTGGTATCTATTTGTCTAGAACAAAAGAGGACGAAGGAAACCAGAGACTCAGAGAAGAAACTAGTCTTCAGGACTAAGACTACATGAACCACAGCCTCATCTACCCTGAGACCAAAAGAAATAGATGGTGCCCAGCTACTGCTACCGACTGTTCTGAGCAGGGCCACAATAGTTGGATCCTGACAGAATGGGAGAAAAATGTGGAACAGAACTCAAATTCTCAGAAAGTCCAGACTTATTGGATCTGTTGAGACTGGAAGACTCCCTGAGACTATTGCCCTGAGATACTCTTTAAACCTTGAACCTAAACTAGCCCCTGAGGTTACCTTTTTTACTGAGAGTAGCTCATAAAAATAAAGAATATGACCCGTGAATACTGTGCTCCTTTAAAAAATTATCTACATGTGACCAAATGGTTAACAATTACCCTAAAGCAAGGAGAAGTAAAGGGGTAGAGAAACCAGATTACCGGAAATGGAACAACCAGAACGGAATTGATGAGAATGTTGACACACTGTGAAAAATCTAATCAATGTCACTGAATAATTTGTGTAGAAATTGTTAAATGGGAACCTAATCTGCTGTGTAAACTCTTACTGAAAACACAATAAAATATTAAAAAAAAAAACTGAAGGGAAGACAAAGGGAAAAATAAAATAGAATGCTGAACTTTGTCACTGTGCTTCAAAATCTAACAAAAAAATATAAATTCATCTCTTCACTCATAAAGTTAAACCTAGAAAATAGAAGTGACAGAGAATGTGGGAAAGAAACTTACAGCTTTTGCAAATGCTAGTTTATTCAGCACATGGAACTTAAAGTCCAAGAAATATTAGTCTAGATGTTACGAGATGGAAATTCCCTACAGACATTGGTCAAAATTTAAATCTCACATTCAAGCTCACAGTCTGAATGCTGCAGTTCCAGTGGCCCTTCTGGGGGAAAATACTTATAATGGAAACAAACTAGTCTCAAGGACTAGTGGGAATGGGATATTTCCAAGAAACTGTGAAAATATAGAGAACATCTACAGTATCAAGGTTGTTTTACTTTTTCTACCTTGTTTATAAGTTCACTGATTCACCAACCTGTAAGAAGTAAAGTATGACGGCTATCAATCCAATCCAGCTGTGCAGACTGTACATATTGGGGATATTCCCAGCATTGTGGAAATCAAAAACAGCCACCAGAGCAATAATTGCAAGAATGGCAGCCACGGAGTGTAAGCCTGCATGAATGGATTTCATCAGAAGCTTGCTGCATTTCCAGGTCCATGGCAGTCTGTATACGATGATGGCTAAGGAGAGACGAAAGAGGATAGAATGTGTTAAAAAAAAAAAAAAAAAACATCAACACAAGATGAACGGTTTGTTTCGTGAAGCCCTTTTCTCTTGGCTTCTGCTTCTCTTCACTTCCCTGTGTTACTCTTGCCTCTCCAATGGCTCTCTCTTGTGCTCTTCTGCTGATATCTTTTTCACTTATAATTTACTAACGAGTGTGCTCCTCAGGTTCATTCCTACAGTTTTTGCTCCCTCTGCACACTCTGTGAGGGTGATCTCATTCACTCTCCCACTGAAATGCTGTCTACGTGGCAAGAACTCCAAAATTTATATCTCTAGCCTAGAACTTTCTGCCAAACTCCAGACCCATATATCTAACTGTTTTCTCTGCGTCTCCATATAGATGCCTCCCAAATATCTCAAACTTAATATATCCAAAACCAGATTCTTGATCTTATGATCTGGTTTATGCCTGTTGTCTCTTTTCTTCTTTAAAAGTATGTTAGTTTTGTAAGAAAAAGACAGACTAACAATAGAAATATATGCAAAAGGTTTAAATAGGCATTTCACAAAGGATTGTATCCAAGGATCAATAAGCATAAGAAAGGTTATATACTTCATTAGTCATTAACTAAAACCAAAAAGACCGTTGCTGTCGAATTGATTCTGACTCTTAGTGACTCTGTAGGACGGAGTAGAACTGCCCCGTTGGGTTTCGAAGGAGCAGCTGGTGAATTCAAACCACGGACCTTTTGGTTAGCAGCCAAACAATCACTGCACCACCAGGGCCGCCTATGATCATTAGGAAATGCAAATGAAAATATCTCTACCACCCACCTGAATGGATAAAAACAGAAAATACTGAGTATTGGAGAGGATGTGAAGTAATCAGAACTCTTATGTTTGGCTGATGAGAGTGTAAATGAGAACAACCACTTTGGAAAACTGGCAGTATCTACTTCAGCTAAGCTTATGCATACCTTATGATTCAGCAATTCCACTTCTGAGTATATGTCCAAAAGAAATATGCACATATATTCATCAAAAGACCTGTACTGGAATATTATTAGCAGCACTGTTTGTAGTAGCCCCAGACCGGACGCTTCCCAAATGCCCATCATCAGTAGAATAAATAAATAAATAAATTGTGATATTTTCACACCAAAGGAATAATACACAGCAGTGAGAATGAATAATCTATAACTACACATAATGATATGGATCAACCCACAATGTTAATCTCAAGAAGCCAGAGACAAGGACTCCGGCAAGATGGCGGTCTAGGCAGAAGCACCACGCCGTCCCTCCACAACAAAGATCCGAAAAACTAAGCCAAACAGAGAATCAACAATCCTGAAACCCT